GGGAAAGACAGACCTTTCAAATTGTTTTGTTCAGTTTTTCCAATAACGACTTGCTGCATCAGTAAAAGTCACCTTCTTTTAATAAAGTATACATTCTCAAAAGAGCAGAAGTGAATTATCCTTATTGCAAACAATGGTACTAAGCTTTTCAATGGATACCTCCAGGGATAAACAGTTGTATAGCCTAACTACTCAAATTCTAACAACATTAAATTTAGACACACTAAAATCCTCATGTTTAGGTTAATCAGCACCAGACCTTGCTCCATCTTTTGTTTATTCTAAAAAGGACAGCAAAGAACTGGAAGTCTGACATTTTGATCATCTTAGGCCATTTTCCATGGGTCACTTTTCAAATTCTCTCAAGTATTTGGAGCACAATTTTGTGACAGAGCTTCTGCCAACCACTTGCATAAAAAGCTGAGCTCATGAATCAAGCTTGCTGACCAGGCCAATCAGCTAGCTTTTTTCCAGGACTGACTCCCCAGCTCTCTGGATAATTCTTAAGAGGTTCAGTTACACACAGCAAAGAACACAGCTCAAGTCTGAAGTCAGGGGAAAGACGACAAAGCAACAGAAGGCAAGCAACAGGAGCTGGACCCTTCAGTGCTCAGGATCCTACAGTATTCTCCCTGCCCTGCAGTGGCAGGGGAAAGGTATTGCTAAGTATTAAAAAGTATTAGAAATGGACCCAAATTCCAAATGGACCCAGAATCGTCAACTCTACAGCTCACTTCCAGTTGGTCAACAATTAAATTTAAACACACAAGAACACCTTACCCTCCTTGTGTTTTCCAGAACTTTTTGGTCTGGCTTTCCATAATTTGGTGGATTGGCATACGGATCATAGCCCAGCTTTGCTAACATGGGTGCGATCACCGGCATATCTTGCAGAACATCAGCGGGTATCTTCCCAACCCACTTTGACAGTGCTTCCACGTTGACTGGCTTGATTACTTGGTCAGTAGATCTTTCAACTCTGTGGAGGGAGAAAGAAAGATCATGTTTTGCACTTCAACCAATGCTTGCTGGTTAGCTAACATCAAGGTCTTTAGGTTCCCCCCTCCACCCTTCTTCTCCCCCAGAAAATCTCATGTTTCTCCAGAGCTGGTGGGAAGTGAAGCTTTACTACTTACGGCTAAAATGAGAATAAGGAGCACAACTTTCATGCATGTTTTCTGGTTAAGGCTTTCACATAGAATGTGCTGAAGCAAGTTCTTTACATAAAGACAGCAATGAAAGCCAAACAGCTCCTAAATAAAAAGTATGCACACATCCACATTCAAAGCTGTTTTCTCACTGACATTCCCACATTTGCTGTTTGGTTGTCTTAATTGCTCTTGAAAGTTGTGCTCCAAATCAAATCTGTGTGATTTGTTTTTTCCTCTCATATTGCGACTAAACTCATTTTCGGAACAGGACATTAATGGCAATTACAGAGGCACTTTTAAAAATTATGCCATCTTAACGGGTAAAACTCAAGTGAAAGACGCTTTTATAAAAATGGCCTGTAGAAATGACAGGAAGATATAAAGTATGATCATATTTTTCATAAGCTCTTCTTTAACTGATCAAGGGTTTGGTCATTACACGGTTCTTAAAGAAAGGCAAGTGCACAATCATACCAGTGTCCCATGTACTATGTTTAGAGAACTGTTGATTTTTTGCTCATTCAATCAACAGTCCAAAAATTGACTTTCATTCTTATATCTAGCTTTTGGTGGGTTTTTTTGTGTTTTTTTTTTTTGGAGGGGGGGAAGAAATCTGGCATCACTTTCCTCTCCCGAGTTCCTTCCTCCTAGTAGATTAGGAGACGTACAGCTTTTTTCTTGTGTTTATTTCCGAAGTAGACCAGCAGTACTCAGAACAGGCAGAGCAACTTAGAATTCTCCAAATGTTCTTTGAACTCAGAAAAAAGCACGTGCATTTTAGATATCGGGGCTCACCTTTCTTAAAAGGCAGGTTAAAATCAGGTCTGTATATGCAAGATGCCTAAAGGAGTATTTACAAGTGTGTTGCACATAATACCATAAGGTATGCCATTCCCCATCACTAGCTCCCACTGCCCAGCTAAACCTATATGAAATCTGATGCTGAGAATACAGCTGTCACATCTGCTTGCAGCTATCATTCCCTGTGCCTTATTTACAGCATAGAGAATTGCAGTCTAAAAGAGCTCCACTACTAAGAAAACAAAACTGTTATACTTGAAAAGAGTAAACAGTATGAAGTGCAACACCACTCATCCACATGAGACAAAGAATAAAAACATTGAGATTCAAATCAGTTAATTCTTCAGAGTTATACAGCAGGTATATCCTGAGAAAAATAAACAGAAACTTAATGAAATAGTCCCTGCAGCTTCTGAGACCAAAAGCCTGAAGTTAAAGTCAAATTGCTCTCAGGACTGACTTCAGTCAAGTTACAGCAAGAGCAAGTTTGATCACAGTTATCTAATTAACCTAATGAGTTCAAGAGAAGGCTGAAGAATTCTTGCACAGCTGACAGACATTAAATCAGTAGTAAGAGGCAACCAGTTCCAGAGCACACTGTTCTGTACAGTAAATGCCTTCTATTACAAACTACACACCCATGTCTGCCAATCATTAATTCAGTCTGATCTTAACATTGCTCTTTACCTTCTTACTCTTTTATTATCAACATAGCTAAAATTCTTCCAGGACACAGGAAGGAAGTTAGTCATATGTCACTGACCTTCCAGCATCTTTAAACACAATCAGTATAAACAACAAACCAGACAGGAACATGGGTCACCACTGGGAAAATCATCTTGGCAAGCATGAATTTCGCATGTTGCTGCAAAAGGTGTTTAGTGGAAGCTGATGGGAAAGCACATTGCAATTGGAAAACTAAACAGGCCACAAGAATTTCATCCACATTGCCTTCGATATGAGCTACCGAAAATGGTTGAAGAGAAGACCTCTGAATGCGATTCTGGGACCAGGAAGTTCCAACCAAGTTTCAGCCTTCCTGAGGGCTACTAGGCTGAAGACCTGCAGACCGCAAATCTGTTTGGAGGGCAAGATATAGCAAACCAAAAAGTCTAGGCACTGCCTTTCAAAGAGTTTAAAGAAAAAAAAGAAAGTAAGATCTAGCCTTGAAACTTCTGGCAGTGCTATTTATGGACACAGAACTTGCCACAGCACCTCTGAAAACAGGTATTACTACAAGTCCCAATTTGTTAGATTTAAGATGAAGTTCTTAAAAGCATGTGGCCAGAAAAAGGACACCGAAATTGGTCCCAAATCAGTCATGCAAAGAGCTTAGGTTGCAGCTCCCACTAATTTCAGTAAAATATCTTTGTATGTCTTACTGAAATGACTATACACTAAGACAACATGCTTCTGAAGTCCAGGTTAGTTTTGATCCTTGTGACATGAAGTTAGATGCTCATCTTTTTACTAAATTAGCACAAAAAAAAAAGCTGTTAGAGTCAAATTGAAGAAGTTCGAAGGGGCAAGGCAGAGAACGAAGAACGAGTGCAAGAAGTCCACAGAACCGGTGTGGAACCCTCCAGTTGAGAAAATATGCCAGCAGATGTTTGAGAACCAACAGAAGATTTATGCTCCTCCTCCTCCTCCTCTCCGACAGTCCGTCCAGTCTGAAATCCCTTCATCAAAACTGTAGGTTGATTTATCCCTTTAGAAGAAAGGGGCTACTATAAGAACCAGGTAATCAGACTGCCTAACAGTTTATTGGACCCCCAAAATAACATGTGCTAAACAGCAATGAGGACCCAGAAAACTAAAATAGTACATACACATATACCTTGTCCTGAAGTAAAACCACCGCATTTTCTAAAAAAAATCCACACGTCCTGCCCCACTGCCATTTTAGTCTCTGGTAATAGTAACTTCAGAATAAAACATTTCCTGGTAGTTAATAGCTAGCAAGAGATAAACAGGGAACTACATTTAGCTGCTCCTAGGCACTCATTCAGAATATACTATAGCACATTTGGTCTTCCGTTTAAATTCTTTACTGTCCTTTCACTTAAAATGGTGGGGGGAGGGGGAGGAAGGGAGAAAAAGAGTAAAGCACAAGGCCTGGGAAAGATTCATAAGCACAAAGAGCATCCGAGGAACACGAGGGAAGAGAGTGAGAAGATGGCAAAGGAAAGGAAGAAAAAAAATGGCAAGAAAACATACCAAGTCCTGACAAATTTGATTATGTTTGTGCATGGACAAATGCTGCCTGGACAATACTTTCAGGTTCCTCTGCAAAACGACAGTAATAGCTGCAGCTTTAAAAGCAGCTGGTAGCACAGAACACAGGCCTAACCCCAAATGCTTTTACATCTGTACCAGGATAAAATGAAAGAAAGGTATCTATTAAAAATAGTATATTCTGAAGTGATTTTTGCCTATACAGCTATTTTCATAATAAGCCTAATAAAAATTGCTATAAAAGGGTAGATATATCTTTGCATCTGTGGTCACCACAGCTGTTTTCAGTTAGGAGGCAAATGCCAGAGATATATTAACATTACTAGTTATAGCATGTAGTCCAGCCATAATACATTCCTTGAACAGCCACGCTGGCAATTACTTCAAACCACAGAAGGATTCGCGCTAGCTGCAAGTTCTGTGGTGTACATCCTTAAAACCCTTGCAGTGTTTCTCAAGCTGGATAAAAAACAAAATGGGGGGGAGAATAAAGTAAAGTAGAATGAGGCTACGGCTGCCTCAGCAACGTTCAAAGAAAATGCTGAAGAAGAGAAAAAAGGCAGCCAACAACTTCCTCAAATCAAGCAGCCAGTAGAACAAAGTCAGAATACTAAGCACAAACTGTCTAGTATCTAATATTGCTGTTAGCAGACTACCGCATAAGAGTTTGCAATAAGGGAGAAAAGAGTCAACTAGCACCCTGAAGAATTCTGCAAGCTACTCAGCAACTGGCTTTTCTCCAAAAGTAACCTGCATGTGCATTCGAGCTCTACGCGCAACAGAAAATGAAGCTTCTTACATCGACCTGGAGCCACATGCTGTCTTGTATAGATTTCACTTGACAGTTTATCTTGATTTCAGATTAGTTTAAAAATACATTTGTAAACATTCACTTTCTACTGCCTGGCAATAACATCACTCTAAAGTCTTTTAGGGATACTGTGGTCCCTTTCTAAGTGTTTAAATATTGCAAGGCAACAAACTCCTGCCAGATTTTTGTTGAAAAATCCTCCAACAGTTAAAACACCTCCAGGCATCTTACACTGGACCCAACCTGAGCAGGTGGCATGGCTCTGAAGTGGATGCTAAGCCCCCTTGATCCCAAAGTCTTAGAGGTGAGCTGGAAGATGACTAAGGCAGGTTTCCCTGCTCATTCCCTTAAATTCTGACCTTGTATTGCAGGCTTTGCAGATTACACTAACAGTTCATTCTCTACTTGACTTCAGAGGTTTTCTACCCTATCTAATACTTTGCAGACAATTGGAGAACTAGTTTTATCCATACCTTCTTACTCTCCCTACTGCGCGACAGAGACTGAGCCTATGTGCTGATATCTTTTAAATGAACACCAGCATTTAAAGATGGATAACTTGGTACTTGTGATATGCTCCGCCTGCCAGAAAAAAAGGTAAAGAATTCGAGTCTTCTGATTTTTAATATACTATTACAAATAGCAATAGTATACTAACAGCCTGAAGGATTTGGTCCAAGGCATGCGGTAAGTTACATCTCAGGGAAAAGAGAGTTAAGTGTAATAGACTGCAATACTTTGAATTTCTTAAAATAATCTCTGAAGTGATCTTCAGCACTCTCCTTTGGAAAGTCAGAATATAGAGCTCCACCATTCCAAACTCTGTTGTTTCAGCTAGAAGACAGCATTCACACTAAGATGTAAAGAGCACTCTACCATAAGCCTAAGAGAAATACTAAGTTCCAAGAGAACAAGGTTGGCTAAAACCTGATCCTGGAACTTAACAGTCAAGTACACCAGAGGCCATAAAGAATTTAGCTGCAGCTGAGAACAAACCTAAGGCAACTTGACAAAAAGAAAGCTAAGTCTACCACAGGGCATGTTTTGTTCAGTTGTCAAAGTCTGATAAGCCGTCTCTGCAGCGCAGCCTCCGTAAGGTTCACGGTAAACTACCTATCAAGAATCTTTTCAAAGAGTAAGTTTTCTGGGCAGTTACGCTCCGTGTACATAAGGTCTCCTGCCACACGTGCAAGTCCCTGCCTGTGTTAACACCGCACACAAGAGGGCACTGAGGAGCAGAGGACGCCAAGAAGGGACTGGTTATCAATGGTGCAAGGAAGTCCAACCGGGGAATCTCAAATTCTCCCTGCACAATTTCCATTAGTATCATATAACACATGAAACAGACATACAAGTTACAGAATTTCTTTTTTTTTTTTCCCCTACAGCCATTTAAGTACTGAGTCACTGAAATAATTATCAAATTATAGAGGTCTCTTGCAACTAAAAACAAATCTGGCCACATATTTCAAGGGTATTTGATTACATAAAGACAATATGGATGCAACATCAAAGAACTACTTTTCCCACTACTGCTAAAGTCTTCTAAAATAGTGTTAGTTTCATGCATCATCTAACCACAGACAGTAAAAGGATAAAAAAATCCATGAACAGACTGAATAGAGGCTCATAAGACAAGAATATTTTCATACTTGTTTCAGTCTTAAATTTGAAATTCTGGTTCAAGAATAATGATGAAGCAACACTACTTTCAACACTACATTTTCTTAATTTTTTGAGACATGAACAAGTATTCTCAACTCCTCCCATCCCATTCTACCAGCTTTAGCAAGAAATACTACTCTCAATTCAATAAGGCTACTGAATTTTATTGTCTAGAGATACATTAAGTTTTAGAAATACTAATTTGGAAGCTGTAAGGTAGTAATATTTTACTAGAAATTGCATTCTGCATAGTTATTTTCACAGGGCACAACAGAATTTGGCAACCGCTTATTTATACCAATAAAGGCAAGTTTACTTCCCCCTTCAGCAGCCACTGTGAAGCAGTAACAAGATACAATAACAAAAGGGAAGTTCAGATGCTGAAAGAACTTGCAAAGAGACAGACAACAGCACACTGCTCTAGCTTAATGCTATCAGAGGGCTTCAGTCTGCTAAGACATGTCCCTGCAAAGGCAAAAAAGGGTTGGGATGCCTTCTTACTAGCTATGCAAACACAGTGGTGGTGTCCATGTTTCTTCAGCGGGAAAGGTGATGGGAAATCTCTACTGGGTGACAAAGAACAGATGGTAAATATATAACCCTTATTTGAGCTTTAAGTTTGCTTTGTAGCTGCCGACTAATAATTTTTTGCCTTGCTTTAAATCATATTCCCTTATGATTCATGAAAGAACTCCATGTAACCAAAACATTCACTTTCCTAGACATTAAATAAACAAAATCTTCAATTTTTATTTCTCAAAACTGTAGTTTAAAAAAGTAAAGCCATTCTGTATTCAACAACGAGAAATACCTCTACCCAGACCACATCACTTGCTGTGCAAGGTGCCTCTGTTCTTCCAAAGCACTTGGTCACTGATGGATATTCAAAACATAGAAACCAAGGAACTTAACTGGGCACGTCTTGCTGTTAGGACGTAGCTTTTTAGTCAGTACTTTAGAAACTTAAAAAACACAGTCTGGCAGACGCATCTGCCGGAGCAAATCTAAGGAAGAAGAGCAATTCAAACATTCACCTATTTCCCCACTGTGAAAACAAATGAACTTCCATATCTCAAAAATCCAGCTGTAAATAGTGGCAAACAAACCAAAAGAACTAGCAGTTCAATCGGACAATAAACTAGCTTTTTTCCCTTTCACAATACTCATCTAGGTTTTCTAAGCAGAGCTGGATTTTGGTTTCTGAACATAGGTTGGTTAGGTGCGACAGAAGGCAAAGAGATCTGCCTACAACAAGGTTTATTTTATTCAAAACGCTTATCCTTTCAAGAGGCTATTACCAACAGAAAAGCATGCCAGTTCCGCTTTCTATTTTGTTGGAACAAATTTCTCGAGTTTCCTGGAAGATTATATTCTTGGCATATTTAACTTGAGGGCTATTCTTTGCATTAATAAGAATCATTACGTTCCTGAAATGAGACAAGAGATTCTGCTAAAACAAATAATGCCACACTAGATAAGACAGTCCAGCTTTATTTTGGGGCACAGGGAAAAGCAAAGCCACAGCTGAAGAAAGGTTGATATTAGAAGTCCAAGCTCAAATTAGACTGACCATTGTTTAAAAGCTACTTCATACGCTCCATAAATAGTTGTTATTGGGACAAGTACTTAGAGGGCGCAACCTGAGATTGCAAATGGTTAGCTACCAACCATTCTTATTTTCCAGATAATCTTCATCAGCAATTAGCTGCCCGAGACATGAATAGCTACTTAAAACTGAAACAAAGTTACAACTAGCACCTTACGTGCAAAGTGCACTATTTTACCTTTTAGAACTATACAACATAGAAGAGGAAGACTCGTACTCACTTGGAAAGAGAAACACCCCCTGCTTTTCCAATCATTTCTTCATGGTGCAGCACTGCTTGGTTCCACGGGATGCGGAGAAACTTTAAGAGAGTTCTCATCCATCTTTCAGGATGCAATACTAGCTGTTCATAATGTACCAGCATACATCTTTCAAAACCAACCTCCATACACTGGTTATACATAGTTTCTATAGCACGATTCCACTTGGTCAAACAGTCCCTGTAGCTGTTAAGGTCAAACCCCGCTATGGTGACCTTTCTGGATATCATGGAATGTACAGATGCCCGACCATCCCGTACCATTAGAAGAAATTTGGCATTAGGGAAAATTCTGGCAAGATAAGTTAAGGATTTTAGAGCAAAAGGATCTTTGTTACACAAATATGGCGCAGGCTCCCCATGTTTCACAATGATTTCCAATAAAAATGCTTGCATGGCCGAGTCTAGAACCTCATCCGTGACTCCAGCTTCATCCAGGCGGATTTTCTCTTTACTTGATCTAGCCCACATCTGCTTAACAGCCAGAATTCGTGGGATTACCCTTGTCTCCTCTCCGCATCGAATATCCGGATGGGCATCAAGCATGGCACGCATTAAAGTAGTGCCACTTCGAGGTACTCCTCCAATAAATATTAAAGGCATGTCTTTGTTGTAAGCAAAAGTTTTATTTGCATTTACATTAGAACCAGTTCTTTCTGTGCTTCTCACGTTTTCCACTCTCAGAGGCTGGCTGCGTTCTTCTATTCGGTGGTGACACTCCATAGCATGTTGGCCCAAATAAAACACTGTCACTGAACTGATCACTAGACATGCCAATAGCAAGTTCTGCTTGAGTTTTCCAACCATTTTGATAAAGACTGTCACTTCAAAATAAGAGACCTTTTATTTCAGATTATCTTCTGGTTCACATGCCATGAGGATCCTAATCCAAAATAAATTAAGGTCTGGTGAGGAAAAGAAAAAGAAATTTAGAAGTTTGTCAACAACTGCTATGATTAATCAGCAACAGAAATATCTGACAGCATTCAGTACAACTGATCTCCTGGAGTTGTGTTAAGACCACCAAATGTAATGTCTAAACACAAACCTCCCATAATAAAAAGTTGTCTTGTTTACCTGTAGGAAGAGCAGCACAATACATAACAAGATTTGCAATTATCATTTCTATTTACATAGAAGTTCTCTGTTACATTATAACAACACACTTGAAATAATTCCACCACTGGAGAGTTAATATTAATTTTTCAGTCAAGCAAAATGCCATGTGTACAAGACTCTACAAATTGAAAAAAAATAACTATTAAGAGACCATCTTTCTTTACTAAGTGAGGTTTAACAGCTCTCTTGGCATTTTATAGCCAAAAAAAAAAAAAAACACACAAGGACTCTTTGAGCCAGTCATCTAGATAAAGGAAATGAACAAGACACCCCACACAAATTATCTTAGAAATAACTCTAAAATTTAAGTATTAGAATAACTCTGGCTTGCTAAATAGATGGTAGCAATATCCTGCTCATTTTTGCTTTTGCACTTAACTATATTATCTTCCATTATGCTTGAATCGCTCCATTTCCTTCAGTGGGTACAAGAGGATAGTAAAAAGATTTCCATAGTTATGTACTGACACTGGTGCTGAGATCCTCCAATATTTGGGCAAGGCCTTTAAGCAATGAAGAAAAACAATTTGCGCTAAGTAAAGAAAACCTCAAATTTCACCTCAAGGTAAACTTTGGTTAAAGAAGTGTTTAGTCATTAAAAACTACAAACACAATCCAAGATTAAAGTCAAAGATCAATCTTAATTTCAATAACGACAAAAAAAAAAACAATCAACCCATGCTGGCTTAAAAGCTTTCATCCATCCCAGTATCTAAAAGAATCCAAAGCAGATATGCAAAACAAAATGAAGGAATTTGATCCCAATGTCCTTCTTTATACTCTTCTTTTTCTAAAATTTGGCTCTCAAAGATATTTCTCAAAAAATGAAAAGAAAAATCAATCCAGCTGTAATACAATAAATATTATTTAAATATTTATATGTAATAATTATTTATTATTATAAATAAATATTATATATGTAATGTATAATATTATATATTATTTATTTATAATATGTTATATTCTTTTCTACCTTCAAACAAGAAGGTTTGGATTCCTTTTAAGCAGTGTTGGTAAGCTTGTCGTTTCTTTTAGTCTTTTCTATTTCTTCTAGATCAATCTGCATTTTTGCTGGTATGACAGAAAGCCTTCCTCTTCCAAGATCAAATGTAGCACTTCAAAGTTAAGAATTTGATTATATGGTTACTTCATAGAAAGCTTTGTAGCAAGTACCCAAATGGCTAATCACAATTCCATTGATCATAACAGTAAGAAAACTATGCTTCAAAAAGCATCATGGCAGCCCACATTCGTGAAGTTTACGTTTTTAGTTATTTCCTATTTATAGCATGGTATAGAAATAGTTTGAAAATATATTTTGACATTGATATGTCATAGTATCATCTTTCTTCCGGTTCTACAATATCATATTATTCAGCCCATTTGAAACAACTATCAACAAAATTAATGAATCAAGGATGATCACTCATCTATTTCAGCAGGTATTAGTAATATGGCTTTCATTTCACTTTGTAATTCACAATTTAAGAATATTGAATACTTGGTCACAAAACCAATCTATACACTATATCTTTACATTTTTCATTCATTAATAGTTATTGTATAGACAGTTTTTACCCTTATTTTGTTGCTCATCAGCTTTGGATTTTTGGAAAGATGAAAAGATTCTTCTGCTCCACATTCAAATGTAATTAAAACTCCTTATTTAAAATTTCAATTAAGAGCTCACTTTCCATGGCTGACATAACTCACAGAACAGATATGAATCACAGACGCTTTTAGCTGTACAGAGCTCCAAGTACTGAGATACCACCAATGTTTTAAAATGACTGCATTCCTCAAAGCTTTTCCATCTCCGTCAGCAATACATGACACATCTCTGAATGAAGAACTCTTATCCCTACTTTCTCCCCTCTCCAAAACATTATCAACTTAACCTTTTCTTCCACGTGAATCCATTCACCAACGTGAATTCTCAGTAAGATCTGAGTAAGATCCTCTAGACACAACACCTTACCAGGGAGCTGGCCTTCACAAAGCAACCAGCAGTCGCTGGCAGACAGTCTTGTGGATTTTCCCACCAGCTCGGGTAACTGGCACAGACCTTGCAGTCCCTGTTTTATGAGGTGTTCAGTCAGGCTGGGCAACCAGACAGCAGCAGATACGGACGGGCTACAGAATTCCTACTTAGTGCCACAGCTCCTCCCCGGAGGAGCACCCAGAGACACCAGCGGAAGGAAGAAGAAAAGGAATCCCTCAGGCAGGCAGCTGTTACATCAATATTTATTTCTTTTGCAGTGCAACTAAGAGAGTTCAGCTGGAAGCTCAGAGCCTTGCTGTGAGAGAATGTCTTGCTACCTTCACACTAACAAAGTTTATTCTAATCAACAGTTGTCACAATCTACACTCTAAGCTCAGCTTGTGGCCTTTGTTACCAAAATTAAACTGAAACCATAACCCAAGGATTAACGCATTCCTTTCTACAGAAACGGCCAAGGAGATCTTCGGCACTCTCTTGAGGGGACACCACCGTTACAAATACTTTACCCTCAGTGAGGAGTTTCATTCTACTTGCATGCCTCCCTTAACTGAAGGGCTGGCTTATAACTTCACGTTAAATATCAGGACATTAAAAAAAACCAAAACAAAACACAAAACTCCAAAAAGCTAAGCAAAAGTTATCTCAGAGCTGAAAGAGAAAAAAGGGGGGAAAAAAAAAATCATTCAGTCAATATACCTCTACAGCACAAAAAGCAGAAAGTCTTGGCTTACACATTCAGCTTTCAATTAGGGAAGGGAAACTGCTCTTCATAAAACCAGCATAAAATAGCATACAGAATTGCTTCAAATGCTTTAGAAATAGTAAAGAGTTACTTAAGAGTCAATATTCTTTAGATAGAAGAGTTAATGCAACAGAAATGATATTTTGCTGCAGAGCATGCAAGACCTGCAAACATTTGCACTTCATACAATCCCTAACACTATTCAGGTTTTGAGAACGTGCCATAAAACTAGTTTCCTCAGGAAAAAGCCTTCGCCACCTTCCAAACAAAAAGCATCCCTTGAAGCCACCAACACTCCCCAAATGCAAGGGTTAGCTAGCTGATCACCAAGGAAAAAACATGTCAAGACCATGGGCATGTTAGCTGTTTTGTTCTAGTCATTTATTTAGAATATCACTAAGAAAACCGCTTGCATAACTGAGCTGAGGAGCAAGTGGTATTGGGGAAAGACTGCTGACTGAAGGCCAAAATACTCAATTCACACGTTTGGTAAGGCAGAATGATGACTCACTGTCAGCACAATTCCCGCACTGAATGCGGGTCAGGGCTGCAGTCTGCGAGCAGGATTCCTAAATTGCCTTAAGTATTGAGTACAGAAAACAAAAATCCACATGACAAAAAAAACCCACACCAAGCAACCACAAACCGTTTTAGTTTGACACAGCAACTTTACAAACTTCAAAGATGCCAAAGGCTGAAAAACCTTGAACAGCTAACAGTAGTCCTAAGACCTTCTGTGCTACTGTTTTTTGCCCAAAAGGAATACCTGGAGCATGCAACTGCCACACAGCGCGGCAAGACCAAAGTCCTGTATGTCAGGAAATCAATAGAGGAATGACAGAAACAGCACCTCTCTCAGCAAACTAACCAATTCCACAAGCTAGTAAGCTCTTCTTTGTACCCCACATCTTAAAAAAGAGCTTTCACTATAACCAAGTATGACATATAGAAGTTACGGCTCTTCTAGCAGCTTGCAAACAAGCAAACCCCACCTTCTCCCTCCTCTGCATGAGGGAGCATTCTGGATCACATCAACCTGAGGAATATCATTACAATTCATTAATATTCTACTGTTAACAGCAACTGAATTGACAACAAAGTCACAACAAGACAATCAGCAATCCCTTGTTAGTTTTAAGTACAGCTTTGAAAAAATACTGCTTTTTCACCAACTGTGACCTGAGTAGAGCAAATTGCCACTCCAGCTAAAAGCACAGACAACAACAACAGAAGCTGTAATTTGAAGATAACTCTACTAGGGTAGATCAGGTCTTTAGCACCAACAGTTTCAAGTGATAGACTAAAACAAGTTTCTAGAAAATGTAAGTGTAACTGAAAGCAAAGAGAAAGTTAGGATCTACCAGTTTCAGTAAGGGGGAAAAGTGCAGCTAAGCAGAATTGAATACAACTGAAAATTACTCCCAGAATATCAAGGCTATGAGTCAGTCGCACAAGGATGCTAGCAAAGCAGAATGACTGCTTTTGTCTCCTTATTCCGCACACACTAGTTCTCTCTCCCTACACATGCAGTAGGTCAAGACCTATGTTGCTGAAGTCCATCTGAAAAAAGTTGAAGATCTTTGCTTGGTGAAGAGGCAAGTTATTCATTTGTATTTTACGTTACAACAGTTCGGTGGTGGGTTGTTTTTAAAAACCAAAAATCAAACCAACCAACCAAAAACCACAAACATTCACTGTTTGGGGAAAAAGATCTATTACTGTCCAGTAATAAGCAACCCAGAAAGGCTTTAGAGCTCAAACTTCGCTTTGGAGACTGGAAAGCGTGATAATCATCTACCTGCTAATTTTCAACCAATAAGCTTTTTCCAATGGCTAAATCAACAGGACACCACCACTGATATTATCCAGCTGGAATTATGCAGTAGCAAGGTTAAGGGTGGTGGTTAAACAGAGGAAAAACCTCAAAGTGAAAGTAAAGGAAAGGAAGATACTGACATGATGGTGGACATTTGTTTCCTTAACTCCCATCAGCATTTTCATTCCTCCTTCTTCAGCCAGGAGCAGATGGAAGAGCGACACAGATGATGATAGTTTATGAATCCCTTCCCTTCAACTTAGTGACCCTCTTAAGCAGCAAGGTAAGCCAAGGCGGTGAGACATGCAACAGACTCTGTCTTTCTGATGCAGTTAACCAGATCAGCCCAAGTGCTTCCTTGCACAGAGGGACCTCTGTCAGGATCTCTAAAGGCCACCTTACTTTACTTGAAAAAAAAGCAAAGCAGAAAGCTACCCGCCCCCCCAAGAAAAAGGTAAGCTCTGCAGCCGCAAGATGGCCTTTCTTCCAGGCCCAGTTCTTGGCCATACAATGCACATACAAGACCCCATTACACAAGGCTTTTAGACAGACTTACGCAAAAGTATTTCTTGCTGTTGCCCTGTACGGACACTACCAAGTCACCTGCCTGAAATGCAGGCAAAATAACAGGGTTGGGTACTCACGTAACATAGATGTTCCACAGTCAAAGTGTCAGTGGTGTTGAAGTAGAAAAGCCAGTCACATTGTAATCTCTTACCATTTTTTTAAAGATTAAGTGAGATATACACCATAAGAAGTTTACCCCTCCCCAAAATTAAGCCATGCACAAAAATATATTAATCTAGATTCAGACATTTCTTTTCTGGAATTTGAAGGAATCAAAACAGAGGCAAGATCTTTTTTTTTTTTTTGGATCCAGTTTTAACACTATCCCATCTGCATTTTGTCTCAAGTGATCACTTCTGAGTATATTTTCCTGCCAGGCGCTACACTGTACATATATATACCGGAATGGCAGTAGATACTAAAAGTTCTCAACAATCCTCTTTGAAAGAATATGTTTTAGAAAACACTGGAGACACAATGAAGTATTTCTTAAGAGAAAGTTCTAAACTAATCCAAGTAAGAAGCCATTGCATACAATGGCAGTCTAGTAGCATTTCTAAACTGAAGTTAAGAAAAGGTTTTACATGAATTCCACAAAAGTCTTTCCTTTAAGGATCTCGTTTGTTTCTGGTCATTCCTGTTTGCTCACCGCAAAGAAGATTGCATAGGGAAGCTGATGGTTACATGATAATGGTATAGCAAAACACTGAGAAACATAACCAAAGTATTCCAGTATACCACTTAAAGAAGCTATACAAACTGTTTGTTGTAGACTCATTTAGAAGGTCATTCCAAAAAAGTCATTTAGGTCTTCAAAGCAGTGTTCATACAATCATGTTAACTTCCCTAAAGGGCAGACATCACGTACTACCACCATTCACGTAACAGAATCAGAGGGATGCCAAAGTATTGCACAAACAAGCAAATCCCAAGTAAAATGCTCAGCAAAGCTGGAATTAAAATGAACAAGTCTTGAGTACTAACTCCATCTTCAGTGTTTTAAATCACCATGGCAAGCCCTTCCAGCTGTTTTCTCTACACTTCCTCCTCTGACTGAGGGAGGAGAGGGTTAAGCTGGGGACTGGGGGGGGAGGCAGGGCGGGGAATAACACCACGCAAAATGGTGTGAGCAATTGTTCTTCACCTCCACAAAGATATAAGCAGTAAGTCACCTGGTGGTAAATATTTGGGATAAAAAAAAAAAAAACAACCAATCAGACCAAAGAAAGCCTAACTTCAGGCAGAACAGCATGGCAACTAGAATGATACAGCTGGATGAAATTACTATGAAGGAATGTTGTTCACACATCACATCCCTTGGACCAGCACTTGTTTAAAACATATATATGTACTCACATTATATATATACATACACACACGCACGCTACATATTAGTAAAGGCCAAGTTAATCTTTACAGCCAGATACCACTGCTGGATCTTAAGCTTCCATACTGGGGAATACTACACATAAACATGC